TCCATTTTCGCTTATCCGAGGAAATGGATCGTTGGCTTCTGGTAGCTTTTTAGTATGACCCGAAACTTTAGTTTCACCCGGTAACAATGGATCCGGGTCTAATCTCGGCTGTTTAAAACCGATTTTAATCAAATGTCCCGGTTAAATAGTCAAACCGGATAATAACTGCCATAAATTGATAAACAGTCAAGTTATTTGAGTCAGTAAGTCACGAAATATATCGGATACCAAATTATATCGAAATATACCAAATTATACCAAACTGATAGTAACGAAATATATCGGATACCAAATTATACGTTGTTATGTTTCCTCTTTGATCACGTACAATTGATTCAAAGAATCGGTAGATGCCTTGTTTGTAACGAAGTCACCGAAAAAGAGCTCTACTATTAAGAAACAAAACGGTTTAATTCATTAAAACCGACACCCAACGATTCTAATTATGCACAAAATCTATGTTTTAGCAAAAGAAGAACGTAGACCAAACCCGCATAAACATAAACTCCTATAATCACCGCAGCAAACATCCTTCCCAAAATAATGTACAAATTCGGAGACCAAAGAAGAACGCTAGAATAATCTCCAAGGAAATCTCTTCGAAAAGAAGCACCGATGATTTATTTAAATTAAATATTCACTATGAAGAAGAAAGAGTACGGCTGACGCCTGCCGGAGAAAATCCGGTGAAACGGTGTGGTTGATCGATGGAGAAGAGTGACTATTGTTGTTCCATATAAAATAGCACTAAATTTCCAAAGTCATTTGGTGCACTTGCACCCCTTGGCCCATGGCATTGACTATGAATTGAGAAGCATACGCGAGTGTTCCAAAACCATTGCATATCTTTCACATAAAACACACACAAAATATAAAACATCGATCACAAGTCAAAACAAATCTTTTAATGAAAATAATTTTGCATGGAGAAAATTAAAAGAAGACTTACAAGGATGTAAATATCAATTTGGTAGATCAAAGAGTAGGCAGTCCAAATTGCAGCGTCGATAAAACTAAGGAAAGACAATCCAAGAGGCATGTACGGAAAGCTCTGCTTATCGCCTAGCATACATAACAATGGTGAAAACGGTGCAAACAACACCAATGGATATATATAGAGCATCATCCTTAAGTAGGTTTAGAGTAAACGCATAGAAAAGTCCCACAAAAAGAACGCCAACCGGAATGAACTTAATATTGTTATCCTTCTGCACATTAAAATCAAGATCATTAAAAAACAATAGACAATAATAATATGATCATGAGAGATAATTTAACTAGCATCAAAGATAGACACATATATACCTGTGCTTTGTCTTCGCAATAATTACAATAGAGACTCAAGTAGAGATCAATTCGATTCCTAAGCCGATGGCGTTAGTGGTGGCGACGAGAATGTTATCTTTATCAACTTGAGGAAGACCATACAAAATCCACAAATTAACCACATTTCATTATCATTGCTATATGACGTTGCGGTTCGTAATCACCTTCCATTGATTTCTTCTTGTATACTTGTATAAACCTTGGCCTGTATATATCTATATATAAATGTTAATAACTCTTTTTAAAAAGAATATAATCCGTATTTAAATTAATCTCCGAAACAACGACCCTAGAATACACGACCAAAACAATAGAGACATGCATTATGAACGTAACGTTACTCTGGCATATATGTTAATTAGTAACAAACTAGAGAAAATAGATATAATTAAACACATAAATACACAAAAACAAATTGTGAAAAAGAGAAAGAAAAGGGACATTGCATTGGTGCGAGGGAGATCAAAGAGGAGATAACAGTCCCTGCATCAAAGCCAGAAAAAAATGTCAGTAAATTAGCTATGGCGACCTAACTAATCCGAAAACATCGACTTCATCAACATAACTAAACCAAAATTCGAAACATAAGAGCATCTCCAGACTCCAGTTGTACTTATTCTTGCCTCTAAACTACCATTGGAGATGCTCTAAAGAGATTACCATATACTACAACTACCTACACGGACTCATTCCTTACCATAATTACACACAACTATAGTCTATAGATACTAACCAAAGCATGCACGATTATTACCATAGAGATATAGATTGTAAAAGAGAGAGAAATCGTACCAATAATTCCGATGATCATACGAATCTCTTTAGCGGTGGTCATTGTGAAATCGACGGAGACGAAGAGCAAAAGAAATCCTAATCCAGCGAGAGAGATGTCTAAATCACAATTTCGTCGCTTCCTTGTGGGAAAAGGAATTGCTTTAAAACCCTTATAGGATTAGGAATTATTCGAAAGAAGAAAAAACAATTCTAACCTCACGTTACCATTCCTCTCTCACTGTCTTCCTCTCTTCTTACGTTCCCCACTTGTAATTCTAACCGGGTAACACTGGATCCGGGTTTACTCTCGTTTGTTTAATCCAAATTTCCCGGTTAAATAGTAAAACCGGGTAATAACGAGCATCACATAATCAGTTAAGTTGTTTTGCTCTATGTATCAATTACAAGCCAATAAAGTTTTGGCGGATTTCTCATTGATATGGCTTTTCCTTTTCTATCTATGTTTAAAGTAATAAGATTGCTATTCGAGTTGAATTTATCAAAACACATTATATGTTGTTCTTATCCTAAGTTTTCAAATCCAGTTACCAAATACCAAACGAACAAGCAAATGAGCATTAGTGAGGTTAGATCCGTTCTTAGCGACAATGTTAGCTAATGTTTCTTGGCAATGTTAGCTAATGTTAACGCTTACACTGGTCCTTATATATTATACATTCATAGTATCCGAAAATACACGAGTATTCGAATTAACCGAAAAACCGGATACAAAAACTACCCAAACTCCCCGAAAGTACCGAAATTAAGAGAAAAGGGGTAAAACGTCTTCTGCAATCTTCAGATTTCTATACCATTATTACCATACGAGTTGGGTGATATGAGGCTCTCGACATAGGTATTGGCCATAAAGGTACTGCGGATGTCACAATTGATTTTCAGGTTCCACCTCGTTTTGCTCTCGAAGTTGTACAAGACCAAATTTCCCTCAAGCTCTAGAAGTACCTCCTCATCATTCTTGGTGGAGGACCAAAGTGGTGTCATGGAACTATAGAACATGTCGAGCTGAATCTTGCTCCATGATCTCTCGACGCCATACTCATTCATCACCCATATAACGACTTGCTTCCCAAGGTCGCAGAAAACCAAACAAAGATGTCCCTTAAGATTAGCAACCTGAAGGTACTTATAATCACCAGCATCGTCAGGCAATTGAATATCTCTGAACTTTTCTGTCTTAAGATCAAATGCAGCCACCACAACTCGCTTCTGGCTTTGACCCTTTTCGAGTTTAACAACCCAGTGGATCGCACCGTTCAAACGCACACCCAAAGTGGAATAGACGGGCTTATAACGAAGACCATCAATCCGCCTCCACGAGTCTCTTTGCAAAGAGTAAACATCAGCATTGTGATAGCCTTTGTTGTCACTAGTAGCAACAAACTTAACCACTTTGTAATCATCAGACAGAGTATCGAAACCAAACCCATAAGGTTCTCCTTTATAGCTCAGAGATTCCGGTACTTTCTTCGATTCTCCGGTGGTTGGGTTAAACAAAAAGGCACCACCTTTCTCCGGATAGATACACACTAACCCGTTCGAAGATCCGATGATCTCAACTCTGTTTCTTCTAAGCAATTGCAAATTCAGATTCAGCTCGAGTCCACCACGCTCTCTCGCATAATTCCTAATCTTTTCAGCTAAGTAACCAGGCTCGTCTTTGAGTGGGTAGTTGAGCTCGACTGCAGCTAAAACCCTAATTCCTTCACCGATCGAATCTAACTCCACTGTGTATAGATTACGTGAAGATACGAGTAGCTTTCGATTTCCGGCATTTCTTTCAGTGTGTCTCTTCACGAACCTTAGATCTGACGATAGAGAGCAAAATTGCTTTGAAACGCACCTGAATCGTCCGATAGATTTGGCTGGTAATCGAAGAAGAATCTCAGTGATGATCTCTGGAGGAAAGTCGGAAAATTCCGGTGAAGCTTCGTCGTTGGTCTTTACTTCTCCGCCGTCATTTCCTCTCCGTCTCAATCTCTTCGTCGCCTCCATAATCAATTACGTCAAAAATCAAATTTACACATCCGACTATATATTATTATCACATGGACTAAATCAAATTATACATTTAAATGAAGATAGTTACATACATCAATT